GTGAAATGCCCCATGTGACGAGCACCAACTGGGCATTGGGTGGATTTTGGTAATCTTACTCCTAAACCACGAACAAACTTGAAATGCAGACTGGAACTGCGCAAGATGGCGCATTACTTGCCCGTGCAAGACGCGGTGACGAAGCTGACTTGCCTCCAACGTCTCCTGTCGACGAATCAGATTCTGGCTTTTTGTCACCTCCACCAGACCCAGAGCCGGAACCAGGCTTACATGGGGCACCTGTACGATGTATGTTCTCATAAACAGTTTATGAAGTAAACTCACGCGATGCTACTGCAGGGTACGATGTGCGTCGTTCTAATAAGGATTCCTTAGTGCTGTGCCTAATTAACAATTCTGCGTCAGGCCGACCGAAAAGAATCTTATACACATATAGAGCCGTTTTCAGAGAAGCATGATACTAGCATTGAGTGTGTATTAGTGTCTGTTTCCGAATCACAGTTTTAATTACTTTGCCGAACAGGTTTTTCTATCATCCGATTACACTGACCGCCCTCGCGGTTGGGATGAGCTTGATGGCTTACGTTGCGACCACCGATGATCTACTAGAGGAAGGAAGGGACAAACGCCGGCTGTGAGTGCCTTGCAAAGCTGGCGAATGTCTAAACATAATTAATCATACCCACGCAGAGGTGTTTATGCGGCCGTCTGTTTCTTTTTACTATTTTCTACATTGCAATTCAGGGACGGCCCGTTCATTCGTCCACATCCTGCATTCTGGCGCATTGTTCTGGGAATAAACTTGCTCTACGAGCTTGCGATGGTATTCCTACTATTCCAGGACTTAGATACCGCGCGGCAGATGCTGAAATATATTGATCCTAATCTCGGAGTCCCGTTACCGGAGAAGAGTTATGCGGAGAATTGCGAATTCACATTTAGAAACATTTGGGTATGCTGTTTCTTTCCATTGTCGATTTTCATTTATACCAGTACTTAGGACGCGGTTGATATCTTTTGCCTCGCCCATGCCTTGGGTTGGTTCGGTAAAGCTCTTATCCTAAGGGATTACTGGTTTTGCTGGGTAAGATTTCTCCACACGTTTCTGCGTTCCTTACATGCCGACGTACATTTATAGATTCTAAGTATCGCCTTTGAATTTGCCGAATATAGTCTGCAGCACCAGCTAGCAAACTTCGCAGAGGTAAATCTGGGAATTATATTCCCTTCATTTATATTGATTGACAGCTATCACGTCCGCAGTGCTGGTGGGATCATGTGAGTCATAAACAACGGGTGGTTTCCGTTATTGACAGGCCATGTAGTGGATCCTTGACGTCTTGGTATGCAATTGGCTTGGGACATACCTGGGTAAATTAACTAGCCAGCTTCCTCATGAATAATGTACTGACTCTACTAGGCATGAAAACTTGTCAATATTTCGAAGTCAAGGTAAGTAGATGCCCGTTTATTAACAATACCTGTAGCTGATTTACTTTGTCCATGAATTGAGCATTATGAATGGCGTGGACTTCGTCAGAGTCGAGGTTTACGGTCCAAAACGAAGCGTGTCATCACACAGTTTTCTCCACATGATTTCACTGCATTTCACTGGGAAGGGACTGCTTCATTTACATCTTATATTACTGTCGTCCTGTTGTTAGCAGTGTTTCTTGCCGCGGAGCTAGACCCTTTCTATCTGAAGGTATGTGACTAAGTAAGAAGCAAATTTACCTATCTAACGTCTTATTAGGGTTTACTTTGGATGGAACCAAGTCATCCGATAGTAATTGCAAGGCTTGCAGGAATTTTTGTTTGTGCACTGCCTGCCGTTAGAGAACTGTACCAATATATGGGTGATTCAAGGTGATTGATGATTCACTGCCATGACATGGCCATGTTAAGCTGAATGACCATAGGAAAGCAAAACGGCTGGGCTGCCATGCGTGGCTCCTCTGGGCTACGGTCCTAACGGAACTAGTGGTTATCAGAAAGTGGAGCAAGGATCAATTCCCTGAGCCGTTTCCCAGATATATCAAATTGGCTTGGAGTATTGGTTCTGTTCTCCTCATCCTTTATCCGTTGTCAAAGGTGTGTGCATTCGTTTTGATCGATCAACTCCTCTCAAGTTTGACTACACTTAAAGTTTGGAATACCGAATGCAAGACGTTACTTGCGCCGACGTCGCAAGGAAGCGCGAACGAAGGCAAAGGCACTGTAATCTGGTCTCAAAGCACAATAGACCCGCTCCATTATCTTCTCAAGCCTCATATGTGAAGCGCACATCACATGCGTTCGCGGCAGTTTATCCACAAGGAGAGTTCGCTAGATAATAAACGCGGGCGTCAATCAACAATTCTTCAAGGTTGCTAGACTTTCTTGCCACGATGTGAAAGGCGTACAACAGGTTGGGAAATTGTGTAATGAATTGCTCAAAAAGAAACGCGCACCCGTTCTTGGCATCTCCGCAACTGTACATCTCATTGCCAATAAGACTGGGCTCTTCTCGTTCGGATCTTTCCTCACCCTATGAAGGTTTAGCTATATCACATTGCCATTAAGTGTGCATTTTCTGACGCGTGAAATACCGTCTGAGTCCCAGAAGCAGTCTGACTACCGAAAGTACTAGAAAATCAGTTTTTCAAATTGTCCCGTCGCATACCAATATTGTGGAATCGGCCCCTCTTTCCAGCCTTATCAGGTACAATGCACCAAGCTGCTGGCGAACTCTCGGCGTTATTTACTTGGGCAGGCCGATTTATGTTGTTGCAATGCTCACAACAAGTGCCGCCACTGACGTACACATTGAATATACATAGAAATGCCATGTTTGTTCAAGCTCAAGCCGAACAAGTCTAGAGTGGGGGTTAAACTAAAGATAAGAGATGCTATTAACCTTCCCCGTCATTTCAACGTCAAGGGTGTGCATGTTTTCTTCCTTTCCGCCTCTGTTCCTGCGCCACGAGTTTTCTTCCCCTTTCTGCATCATTGCGGCTAAACCTCTTGTATCCCATGAACAACATCAGACAATACTTATCAAGACAGTCGCTTGTGAATGACTTGGACTAGTCTTTACCCTTCCCCTTGAGATCGTCTTCGACCTCTTTGAAGCCATCCAACGTGAAGCGGAACATACGGGCTTCCCGTGGATCTCCTCGGGCTGCCTTACCTTCACCATCTAACTTCCAGACGTCCCGTTCAATAAATAGGACATGGCCATCCCGGCCCACAAGCAGAATAGTTGAAAGGCGCGTGGCGCCTAAATCGTGCTCGTCATTCGAATCACTTTTCGGAGACAGGCAATTGGAGCGCAAGCAAACTGGTGGGACTTCAATAGAAGTGCGCATCTCATAAAGGTTTGTTGGTGCTGGTGATGATTGAAGCCTATGACCGAACATGGTTAGCGAGGTGAGCTTAAGTGAGACTTACGAAGGTTCCGTACGACAGGATCTCAAATAGTCGCTCTGCAAGCTCATAATCGGAAGGCTGTGAAGCCTTGGTCTGGCTTTCATTAAGAAGCTCCACTAAGATATCTTCCCCTGTCTTTACTTTTGGCCAAGTCCCCTCATTAATTCTGTCTACGCCGTTCGAGACTCCACCTATGCGTCGTTCTTCAGCAAGGAGGGGTCGGCTGGTTATTGTACCACCTCCCGCAGAGTTTGTGATCAGCAATGCCTCATATGTAAGTGTGTTAGTCTGTCCCTGTGTTGAGGGCGAAAGAAGCAGTAAGTTGAATCCTGGATAGTCTGCCGAAGGATCGTCCTTGAGCATTTGCACGAACTGCTCTACGTCGGGAGCATCCGGAAGAAGGAAGGATGACACTAAATGCCCTCTAGATTCTTTATGGTGAGCACCGACTTGTTCATTGATATTTGTTCTAATCGCCTCCGTCAGCGGACCCTTCTCCCTGAAGACACAGGAAATGCAAACCTACAATAGTGCGATACGCCCAGCACGATTTATCCCGAACCAAGTGCCACCGCACTGAAGGTCAAGACCTGACAATACAAAGGCCTCACGTATGCCTTCATGCCCAAAGGAATGGAAGTGGGCATTTTCTGTCGGACGTGAGAGATATTCATCGCGATTAGTGTACAGTATTCTATGGCAGCAGGGGATGAACAAAAAGTTCAGTCGCGCATTCTTCCGCTAGATGGGAATCGCGGCGTACAGAGAATATTCTGGGTGTTCCAGGGACCAGAGGCCAATACACATGGCTGTGTGTATTCCGGTTACCAGAAAGATGGCGGGGAAGAATGTTTAATTTGTGGAATCCCCTATCAGACAGTTGCTGCTGGCGGCTATCCAGAGATAGCAATTGTTCAGAAGTTGTATTGTGCTGAAATAGAGTTGACGGTATAACGGAGTAGATAGTGAATGCGAAGCGTCTACACTGTGCAATATGGTTTGATGCGTGCGGGGTAATTTGCAAAATGCAGCGGTCAACGAAAACGATGATCCCTCTCTTGATAGTAGATTATTGTCGACGACACTGTTCAGAGAACTGCGGGACACCAGAACATGACAGTTCAAGTCAGAGAGAGAGGGCGTGACCCTGACGCGTCAACGCGCCTTAGTTCGAGCTGAGCTGCAACTTTGACAGCGATGATGATGGGCGACTGATTATGCATCCGACACCCATCGTCGTCCTTGACAATGGCGCGTCAACTATCAAGACAAACGTCGTGGTTGCAGATGAGGTGGATATTGTATTGCCAGAACCCAGGTATGGTCGTATCTCCACGTTGGCCGTGCTCTCGCGCTGAACGCCTTTCTTTCAGAACCGTGACGAACGCGATCGTGCGGCAGACCAAGGGCGACAAAAAAATATTCTTTGGGCACGAATTTGACCGATGCAAGGACTTTGCCACTCTTCATTACCGTCTTCCCTTTGAACGTGTGCGTTGTAAAGTTACTTACAAGTTACAACGGGTCGCGTGCTCAACTATCATAGGGCTATCTGACGGACTGGGATGCCCAAAAGGCAATATGGGACGGCTTGTTCTCATCGGATTGTCTAAAGGTATATTGACAATGTTATGGAAGCATCCCACCCGTTGACGCACAATCAGATTACGACGTCCGAGGCGTCTCTTCTCATCACAGAGCCATATTTCAACTTACCAAATATTCAAGAGCAATATGACCAATTCGTGTTCGAAGAGTATGAGTTCCAGTCATATTACCGTTGTACACGTGAGTGAGGCGAATAAGGGTGAATACACTCTACTGAACGGCCGGTTGTTTCGCGGCAGCGGCGTCGCTGATACCTTACGGGTCGTTATTTCACGATGAAGCATCCGACTCCGAGGGCCCTCCGGAATGTATGTTGATCGTCGACTCCGGATATAGCTTCACACATGTTGTGCCCGTGATGAGTGGGAAGGTGATCTGGAGAGGCGTTCGAAGGTGAGTTAATCTGGTGCGAAGTTTCCTTGCGCGGCACTCATTCTTTGTCAGATTGGACATCGGAGGAAAGCTTCTGACAAACCACCTTAAGGAGCTGCTTTCACTCCGGCAGTACGATCTGATGGGCGAAACGTACATCACGAATGACATAAAGGAAAAGTGTTGCTACGTCTCGACAAATTACAAGGAAGATATGGAGTCGAGTCGGTGAGCGCCATTGCTGATGGTTGTTATCCTGCACATAATTGATATGCCAAACAGGTTTCATTCATCCAAGATCGTACAGGAATACATCTTGCCGAAGTACTCGGAGGGACGAGCGGGAAGGGTAAAATTACAGGGCGAGCAGATTCCGGCGGATGAAGATGTCGTACGAATGAATACTGAACGGTTTTCTGTGCCCGAGGTGCTGTTCAGACCCACTGATATTGGTTTGTGCTTCTTTGAATCTGAGGTGCTCAGAAGGAGATCTTAACATCAATCTTCTTATAGGACTTGATCAGGCGGGACTTTCCAGTACAATCGCGGACTCGATCTCGTCCTTACCTGGGGACGTGCAGGGGTTGTTCTGGGCTAATATTGGTGTGGTCGGGGGTAACGCCGTGTTCGCGGGCTTCCGACAAAGGCTGTATGTGTTCTTGATCTAAGCTCAATCTGAAGTTTTTCTTAGATGCTAAGGGCCACCTAGAATATCTGAATTGCGAAGCCTTGCACCTGTTGAGTACGAAGTCCGCGTATTTGAATCATCCAAGTAAGTCAATTGGTTGGTTTTACTTTTCGGGCCGTTTATAAAACTTTCATGTTGAACAGCCCAATCACAGCGGCGTACTTCGGAGGCGCTGAGTATGCCCGCCAACCAGGATTCGCCAACGTGAGTGTCACGCGTACAGAATACCAGGAAGCTGGGAGCAACGCGTGCATTAGGAAGTTCAGAAATGGAACATGGCAAGCAAAGGAAGTTGGAGATGAAGTCCCTCAAGGAGCAGGGAAGGAGGCGGGACGAAGTAGGGTACGTTCACGGGTAGGGAAGCCGCAGTTGCAGGAGGCCGATATCGGTATTGAGAAGCAGCCGTTGAGGAGCTCAAGGAGCCGGATGGCGACCAAGGGATGATTGGAAGACGTCGAGCTTATTCACCATGTTATTATCGTGGAACGAGACGCAAGGCCTTTAACTGCCTAGATTCTCCTCGAGGGTGTCTTCGATTTCCCGTCGTTCTTCTGTCTTATCGTCTCATGCTCAATCTCTCCATGCGAATTAACTAGACCTTCACCGTGCACGACCTTTTGTCAGACGATACCACTCCGCCGAATTGTGCACGAGAAGATACTTAATGAATATAATGATCATCTACTTTCAATATTGGGTCCTCGGCTCAACGGCTTCTCTGACGATGCTTCGGTGAGGCATTAACGCTTCTACAATTGTACAACTTGAATGGCGCGATAACTAACAATATCTCATAATGCCTTTAAGTACAAGCAGTCTCAACAAGCGGCAAGTACATTGCCGTCGCATTAGAAAGACAGATAACATGTGAAACGGACAAGCGGCCGTTACTAAAGTAATCTTTATGACAACAGGTTCCCTCGGCTTAATAATGAGTGTTCATAACTGTCACTATGAGAGATACAGACATGCTAAAAACAGGCAGTCTTAAACAACCTTCCCTCCCTAAACAGATATCATTCATTGACGAAGGCACACAAGAGGTACGAGGCTGAAGAGAAGACCACGAGCATCACAAGCAATATAGAGTGACAGGGAATCACTGATTGCAATATGACGCATTGGTCTTGGAGGTCTCGAGATGGAAAGCTGAATACTGCGAGCGACCTTGGCAGCAACTAAGGCGGCGAGGCACAAAGCGTGTCATCAGATACGTTGGTCGAGGAACGAGTTCCGAGGTCTGCGCGGCTAACGTTAAGAGAGGGAAGAGGACGAACTAAGTCGTCCGAACGGACATGCACAGGCGCCGGTCTAGTTAGCATAACTCTGAACAGTGACAGTGAGGAGCTCGAGTGAAGTCGCCTTAGTAATCTTGGACGTCGCAGTATTGTATCTGCAGGATCTTCACGACCGAAATCAGAGGCAGACCGTTCGAGACAACGATGCAAGGGGAGCATTTCGATATTATCCTTTGACCCTGCCAACTTGAATAAGTCTTCTTTCTTGGAGTCGTCTGCGTTGTCGGGGACCAGTGTGGATTCGCTTTGCGCGGGAGAATGAACTTCTGGCTGATTATTTTGATTTCGTCTCTTCCTATACGACATGATTCGTTGTGCGAAAAGGACGATCCGTTCGAGACAGTAAAGGAGGAAGAAAACCGTGAATATGATTATGGCTAGAATTTTCAAAAATTGATTAGACTTAAATTTGATATATCTAAGTAAATAAGTGAGCGTACCTATAGCGATCAAGTCTATCTTGCATATTGCAATTTTGTCTGATACAGGAGAGCAGGCTTTGTTAACTGTCATGTTTACAAGCTGTACACAGCTGCTTCATCCAGGAAACAAAGAGAGTTCTAGGGCTGTGATAATAGATGGAAAGGATATATGAGCTCCTAGGACTTTCGGGGAGGAAGGAGGAGACGATATGAAGATGCGACATCCAGCCTGAAAGAGACTTGTGGTAGCCTGAGTCTCTAAGCATTACTGTCTAAGACATAACCTGACAGTGAGTCTGAACCTAAGATGGATAGACTTCTTGACTGTTTAAATGACATTAGGGACATAAAAGTAAGAATAAATTTCAGAGCATATAAAATACCGTTAGTATTTGCCAAGTTTTAGCTTAGTACGATTGTAGCATTGGGAAGATCGTCCTTTGCTAAGCCATGGTTTGTAATTTGGGTCGTCGAAAAGTAGTGCATGAGAAAATTTATACTAGTTTTTGGGGAAGATCGACTATTTTGATTGAGAAGAGTAGTACATGAAGCTTGCCACGTAACTAGAAGGCCTCTGAATCGTGGTTTCGCAAACGTTTGAGGAGGGTTTTTGGTGAGTCGATCTTATCGGATCGACAGGATCTGCACGTTCGTCGGATTGATCCGCTCGGCCCAGAGCGTCTCTATATCCGGTACCGACTCCATTCATCATCATCGTTCAGATGCATGTGATTCATGGCGAAATTCACTGAAAAAAATCCTATAAAATCAAGTTATTTTTTATATTTCCCTTTTATTTAGGTAAAAAGGCTTCTTGAGATTATACAGATAAGATATTTCTTCACGCGCCGATAGCTTGACTCGGAGAATTACCGTCATGGACCGGTCCTTGTAACACTACATTTTAATTCTGAATTTACTTCATTTTCACACCTTTTAACCTCAAACAAAAAATACTATATGAAAATAAATACTGTTTAACATTACTCTACAAATTTCTGTGACAAATAAATGAGAAATAAATTAGATATAAAGGATAGATGTTTTGTGCCCAAAAGAGCACGTCACTATTCCTTGTAACACCCATTTTCCCACGATGTACACACAAGTAATCTACCTTGTCTGCATTATTTTTAAAGTCATTAAGGCAATATAATATTTGTATTGGACTTCTATATTAGTATACTCAGATATTTAAGTCAATATTTTAACTGTGTGGCCCTTGGTAATGAGTGTATCTCTTGACTGAATATTGCTCAGTACAGTCATGTGACTAAAATAAACTGTGGTTTGTACTTTTTAATTTTTATAAATTGCAAATCTTAATGAAATTGTCTAAAAATTTGTATGTATGCTTATTTTAACATAACAGATAGTCTTGTATTTTTTAGTTGAAGTTGTGTTGTAGGAGGAGCCATGACTATCACTGGAAAATCTGAGCATTTTCTTGATTATCTAGTTTTTACCCTTATTTTCAACATAGCTCAACAAATTCTAATCTGTTTGCCACAATTTTTTTACATACACTAGGAAGATATAATAGAAATTCATTTATATATTTTTTGAGGTAAAATTGTTGTGAGTAGTGGCACTATGTATAGGGTGTTACAAGGAATGGTGGTGTTACAAGGACCGGTCCATGACGGTACTCACTGCTCGGAGGAACTGGTAAGCGGGCCGGCGGGCCGTTTCCTACAAGAGAGAGAAATTACATATACAATACCCCGATTGCAGATTACGCCGACATTGTCCACCACCACCATCATCATCGTCTTTGGCATCCTGCATGCCCATCTTTAGGGCGCTGCTCTCTCGCCGTGCTTTTGCCTACGCGTCGGTAGCAGCGGCGACATCCGCTGCAGGCGGGTACTACTACCTCAACTCGGGTCCGTCATACCCACCCTCCACCGTTCGAAATCGCAGACCACCTCCACCATGGATACCTCCGTCACGGAAGGATATGCTAGATGCACTGCGCGCATCAAGTGCTGGCGGTGAACATGAGTTTGACTTGCTTATTGTTGGAGGAGGAGCAACTGGGGCTGGTGTGGCGGTCGATGCGGCAACTCGTGGTCTGAAGGTCGCACTTGTTGAACGCGACGACTTTAGTTCCGGTATATCACAACATTATGATTTATGAGAGGTATATATAACTAAATTCTCTGCAGGAACTTCGTCAAAGTCGACGAAGCTTGTTCACGGTGGCGTACGCTATCTCCAGAAGGCCGTTATGGAACTCGACTATGAACAATACAGGCTTGTGAAGGAGGCTTTGCACGAACGGCGTATATTTCTTGAGACGGCCCCGTATCTCTCACATATGCTGCCCATCATGCTACCCGTGTATAAGTATTGGCAGGTGCCTTACTATTGGGCCGGATGCAAATTGTACGATATACTCGCAGGAAAGGAGAATATGGAGTCCTCATACATCATGAGCAAGGGAAAGGCACTTGAAGCTTTTCCGATGCTCAAACAAGAAGGTCTCGTTGGTGCTATTGTATATTATGATGGCCAGCATAACGATTCACGTATGAACATGGCTCTCATTATGACTGCTGTCCGTCATGGTGCTATTGTTGCGAATCACGTCGAGGTCTCCCAGCTCGAGAAGGATCAGAATACGGGAAAGCTCAAGGGTGCTGTTGTAAAGGATGTACTGACAGGAAAGTCCTGGCCTGTTCGTGCCCGTGGTATCATCAATGCAACCGGCCCGTTCGCTGATTCGCTCCTCGCACTGGACAACCCTGAACATCAACCAATAGTCGCACCGGCTGCTGGAGTGCATATCACGCTTCCTAATTACTACGCGCCACGAAATATGGGTTTGCTCGACCCAGCGACTTCCGACGGACGTGTGATTTTCTTTTTACCTTGGCAAGGTTCTACTATAGCGGGGACAACTGACAGTCCTTGCGCAATCGAGCCTGAACCACGCCCACGCGAGGAAGATGTCGATTGGGTCCTCGATGAAGTAAGGCATTACCTCTCCCCAGACATCAAAGTACGTCGCGGAGACGTACTTTCAGCATGGTCAGGAATTCGCCCGTTAGTGCGTAACCCGAATGCGGCGAGGACGGAAGGCCTCGTACGGAATCATATTGTTCACGTCTCACCCTCTGGACTCCTTACTATTGCTGGTGGAAAATGGACTACCTATCGCAAGATGGCGGAGGAGACCGTCGACAGGGCTGTGGAAACATTTTCTCTTCAGGATCGCGCCAAGTCTGGTTGCGTGACAGAGAAGGTTCATTTAGATGGTTCGGATGGTTGGACGCGCAACCAGTTTATTGGACTCGTCCAGCGATATGGCGTTGATGCAGATGTTGCGCGGCATTTATCGGAGAATTACGGTGACCGCGCTTGGTCAGTCTGTGCCCTCGCAGCAGCCGAAGACGAACAAAGTCAAACCGACACTACAGCTTCGTGGCCAATTTCCGGAGTACGTCTCGTTCAGAACGCAGATGGCGGTGCACAGTATCCGTTCATCGAAGCGGAGGTGCGGTACGCTGTCCGACACGAATACGCACAAACTGCTGTCGACGTCCTAGCTCGTCGTACGCGACTAGCGTTCCTCGATGCGCACGCTGCATTGCATGCGCTGCCTCGCGTTGTCGAGATACTATCCGAGGAGCTTGGGTGGGATGCAAGGCGACGAAGAAAGGAACTAGAACGTGGAGTTGGTTTCCTGAGGAGTATGGGCCTTGCATATCTCCCGTCGGATGCGGAAGTAGCCAAATCGTTAGACACGGCTCCGCACTCTTTCTTCGAGACACTTCGCTCGGCGCTCAGCTTTAGTCCAAGAGCCACTGCTACCATCACTCCCGCTACAGCACCGGAATATACACGCTCGCATGTCTCTTCCACTGAACTCTCAGACCTTCGCTCAGCTTTCAACTCACACGCTGATTCCAACACCACTCGTCTCCCCGCTTCTTCTCTAAAGCCCCTACTCCTCTCGCTTGGTGAGGATTACGCGAAGGTACGAGATGACGACGTACGATACGTCCTTGCTGAAGCTGGATTGGATGCAAGGACAGATTACGACTTTCATGAGTTCGTGGAGATTTGTACGGGATTGAGGGAGATTCTTTTCCGGCCTAGCCTTGTGAAGAAGCAGGTGACGGGTGGGAAGAAGAGGAGAGATAGGATGGTTATACCTGTTGAGAAGAGTGGTGGTGGTGTGTAGAGCATGTGCTTTATATCTCGTTAGAGGTTTCTGGTGGTTGTGTCTTATCATGCCCGTTTTTATGACCCCGCGATGTTGTTGTTCTCGTATCAATTCCTCGATTGGACTTGTTGGATTTTTTTCTTTTTACCTTCTGGTATATCGTACATGCATTCACACTTATTACACTTATTCGTTCTCCCTGATAAACAGATAACAGATTGTACTTTTACGATTCGGTATCCCTCTCTTTTTGCTTTTCCTTCTTAATTGTAGAGTACACGGAGTGAAATAGAGGATCCAGACACAATTACATTAGCAACTAAGTGTACTACGCCTTTCATTCCCCATATTTATTCTGCCATGGATTATGCTTCCGAAATGCGTCTCTTTTTTTCGGGACCTTTCTCTAGGTATTTTAGTTATCAATGCAAACCTACAATAACTCCCGGTGGGTCATTTAAGCACATCATTAGTAAGTTTCTAACTTTAATTAGCGCCATATAAAGAGCAAGCATTCGCATGGATTTCGTCATTCTTGCTTGAGGCTCTCACTCGTGCAGTGCCTTCAGAAAGTATTATAGAGAGAGAGACAACATGTCTATTCCAGATCAGCATATCCATCCAAGTGCGACTGGTGAGGCTGCGAAAGTAGTAGCGGCGCACCAGGCTCCTGAAGAGGTTGTGTTCTACAGTGGATGGGTGAGCCATTCAATATGTCTTCCGCTTTATATGTTTCAGTTAGTAATGAAACGAACGAACGCTCTGAAAATATAGTTCTGTCCTTACGTGCAACGAACGTGGATCGCTCTTGAGGAGAAAGGCATTCCATACCAATATAAGGAGGTCAATCCGTACAAGAAAGAAAAGCACTTCCTAGGTAAGTGATCTAATATTTAGATGAGAATCCGTGTCCTGAACAAGAGGATTTTTTAGACATTAACCCGAAGGGTCTTGTCCCAGCTCTTGAATATCGAGGGAAGGCACTCTACGAATCACTCATCCTATGCGAGTTCCTCGAAGACCTCTATCCAAACAACCCACCCTACCTTCTCCCACACGACCCATACGATCGGGCGTTCGTTCGCATCTGGGTGGACCATATTAGTAAGCGTGTAATCCCGGCGTTCATGCGTCTCTTGCAGTCCCAGGAGCGTGAGAAGCAGGACGAGGCGAGAAAGGATTTGTATGAAGGTTTGAGACAGCTTTCTGAGAAATGCAAAGGGCCGTATTTCCTTGGTGCGGAGTTGAGCTTGGTGGATGTGGCAATTGCACCGTGGGTTGTGAGGGAGTATGTTATCACTGAAAATCGTGGATACAAGAGGAGTGAAGTTTCGGATGCGTGGAACGAGTGGGCAGGTTTGTTGGAGAAGAGGGAGAGTGTAGTAAGGACGACCAGTGTGCGTTCTGTGCAATTTGTTTTCCGTGAAGGGATATTATAGCTGACTGATCTTCGGTATAAAGGAACGAGCGTATTATGCGGAGATTTATGGACGGTACCTTCGGGACGAAGCGCAAAGTGAGGCAGCAAAAGCTACCAGGGCAGGAAGAATCATTCCTTAAGCTGGCTGGAGGGATGACAAATAATACTGTTGCATTTGAGTGAGCATTTCAGGTAGTAATCAAACAACTGTCATAGTATTTGCACTGTGAAAAGGCAGAAGTATAGTGTCGAACAATGAAAGAAAAAGATTAAAGAACTCGTCGACATTTAACGTATTCCACATTAGGATAATAAGTTTATGTAATAAAGTGCCTGATTTAATCACACGCCTCTTACCCAGCATCTCACATAAGCAGGTCCATATTTGGAACCGAGAAAATGCAGCGCTTGCATCAGACTGGATGACTTCCCGTAAGAATTCTGCTAGAAAAAAGGCATCCTATTTTCATAAACTCTGTATATAAGCGAGATAGGATAGATTTAGACAAAATTTGCTTCCCATAACACCAAGATTCATAGATGCTATAGCTAAGGGCAAATGTTCTGAGAGAACATGTTGATCATCAATTATACTAAATACAGATGTAACTCCGATGACAAAGTGACAGGCAATCAGGGATACTGTCATAAGCGTCGGCTATATTACCATATTTATTATTATGAACGTATTTCTCAAGTTTTGAGGTTTGTACAGGGGGGGTACCCCCCCCTGTACAGATTTTAAGTTTATTCATGGGGTGTTGTTGACCGAAATTATGGTACACTAGTCGGTTCCCTTCGGACCGATGATTTAGACACGGTTTTTAGTATTTTTCTCGTCAGAAAGCCTTACGGGAAGTCATCCACTCAGAGTTTAGCACTACCGCCAGCGCTTGGCATGCCATAACAACCCAATATCACTGTAAGTTAGCACCTTGGCTCTGTCCAGCTGTCATTTTCAGAACAGCCATGCGTGCGTGTTTAAGACAACACTAGTTTGTTTCGGTATATAAAGGATCTGAAATGTATTGGTGACTTGACTGGCAACGCTCTTTTATCCTCGAACGAGGGGGATTTTAATATCTTGCTGCGACATGGCGACGGCGGAGTTGGACCTTGCCTCGTCCTGGATCAAGGCCTTTGGCGAAGTTGTCAGTCAAGGAAGTATAGAAGCTCTACTCGACTGCCTTGATCCATCTTGCTGGCTTCGTGATCTGCTAGTCTTTAACCCGAGCCTCGAGGCACGTCAAGGACACGACGCCATTCGTACCCACTTGCAGTCTGCGCTGGGCAAGGCACAAATCTCGAATGTTGTCCTCGATACCAACCCTTATGGAAGGCCTCACATTTCTCAAGTCTCTCCACGATTACCCCCTATTATAGAGACAGCGTTCGATTTCGAGACTCCAAAGGCCCTCGGTAAGGGATTTGTCCGATTGCACTATCCGAGAGATGGCGAGGCTCCGAAGGCCTTCGCCGTTATGATGACGCTAAGGGACTGGAAAGGTCATGAAGAACCACAGAACGAGTCTGGCGTGTATGGTGGTCATACTCTATCCTGGGGAGAGGTTAACGTTCAACGACGCGAGACAATTGAAAACGATCCTCAGGTGGTTATAGGTATGCCATGTTACGACTCCTTGTATCTCCGTCTAAGCGTGTACTTTAGTTGGTGCTGCTCAATCGGGTCTTCACGTCGCTGCCCGCTTTCGTCAGATGGGCATCCGCGCCCTTGTTATTGAACAGACAGCCCGCGTCGGAGACGTCTGGCGTAATCGATATCCAACGCTTGCGCTGCATACCCCACGTTCCCACCACTGCCGTGCGTTTGTTCTCATCTGCCTCGTTCTGAGAGTTCATAACAATAGAGGTATCAGTGTTATATCAGCCATTTCCGTCGAACTGGCCCACGTTTACACCGCGAGACAAATTAGCAAATTGGCTCGAGCAGTATGCTGACAATCAAGATCTCGTCGTTTGGACTTCCACAACTCTCGTACCGACCCCGAAGTACGATTCCACCACTAAACGTTGGGACCTGACCGTCGACCGCAATGGCAAGCCTATCACGCTTCATCCACAGCATCTCGTCATGGCCATAAGCGTTTACGGAGATCCTGTAATTCCATCACTTCCGGGGACCTCATTATTTACTGGTACAATCATTCTCGCCAGCACATATTCTGGCGGTGAACCATTCAAGGGAAAACGTATAGTCGTGGTAGGGGCAGGAAATACGTCGGCAGATATATGCCAGGATCTTGTCTTCCGTGGTGCACAGGATGTCACAATGGTCCAACGCTCAGAAACGTGTGTTGTCTCTGACAAGTACCTCTACAAAATGTTAAGTATGGTCTTCCCCGAGGATCGTCCTGTGTATTACTCAGATCTCGCATTTGCTGGATTTCCACTTGGTGCGCTCCGCGAATTGGGGAGGATGCTTCAACCGCTTGCAGAGGAATTTGATAAGGAGATGCATGAGGGTTTGACGAAGGCTGGTTTTAAACTGACGGCTGGACCTGACGGTGCAGGACAATTAACTATGCCATTCGATCGGCAAGGAGGTGAGCTCCCAATTAACAGCCGAAGCTTTCTAACTACTTATCGAAGCTTCAAGGATCTAGTAAGTTACCCGCAAAGTGGTCTTAGAGTTCATATTCTAACACAAGTTTCTCGGAAGTTGTTGATGTAGGGTGTGCGGAACTTATCAGCACCGGCAAGGTGAAAGTCAAGCAAGGTGTCGAAATACATCATCTAGCAGAGAAGACCGTCGTGTTCACAGACGGTTCCGAGCTGGATGCGGATGCAATCATCCTTGCGTTCGTAATTCCTTTCCTAATGTGCATGCTTCCTACATTTAAATCTGACGTTTTCTATTGAATGACATTCTGTATAAAGAACTGGATGGCATCCTCTCCGCGAAAAGCTCATCCGCTTATTCGGACGCGAAGTTATCGACAAGACAAGCAAGTTACTCGGTAGTGACGAACATGGAGAGATACGAGCAGGATATAAACCATCTGGTCAACCAGGGGTGAGCAATGTAACTCTGAAAGCTATCGTTGCATCACTAAGACTATCTTCTAGCTCTGGTTCGCAGCCAGTGACTTTTCACACTCACGATTCCTCTCGAAATTGCTGGTAAGTCGGCTACTCTCGGGTTTTCAGGCATAACTAATGCAGTTGCACGATATTATTCCATCTTCGTTGAACAGGCGTTGCAGATTAAAGGAATCGAACTCGGGTATTTGGAACATTGACCGAAATTTAACTTGTGCAAACGTAATTCATCAATGAACTGAAGAACTGGTAATGTATCTTACAATGATTGTCTGATGGAATGATGCAAGGAGCCGTGCATAACTAAGGCGAGGTTTCAATACCATTTTTGCCAACCGTGTGCACCTCAATCGGACATGCTCTTGGTTGATGCAGTTACCGATACTGCGTACAGAGCGTGCATGCCTGACGCGTTGGCGCATTCATCGACTTTCATATTTTCCGACGTCGCACAGGGTCTCAGGACGTGAGGCACAACTGGCTCTCGCGCCACTCCTCTTATGCGAAGAACCACTCTCGCTTCCTCCATTCATATCGCACAGCTTGCCGTCGGAACCGGCCTCCTTTACACATCACGTACACGTCTCAACAGTCTGATTAAATCTGAACAATCGTCTGGATGCACTCTTGCAACAGATCTCCTCACAGTTCATTTCGAAGAAAGCATTCAATTACTGGACGTGTTAATAAGCAAAAGTTTTCTAGCTCTGCGGCTCGACTCGAGTCCACCAAGCAATGGGCTAACCTTGCTCAAACCCATACTCAATCGAATGCACAGCTGAGTCTTCCGAATGCCATCGAAATGATTATGTAAGCGATATAAGATTCACACCTCGCATGTCTACAATTATGCCCTTTGCGGAAGCAAGAGTTAATTTCGGGAGACATTTCGACATGCTGTGTCCAGAAGACTTACTCAACAAGATTATATTTCTTGCATCTTGTCTCGATTTATCCTTAGTGTCAAACCTTCATCACAGCTTCAACGTGTTCCCTGCCTTGCCCAATGCAGTGTGTGCGCGCCTACTCTTTACCCTCAACCCTAACGTTCTGCTCAAGGGTGAGAGCCAAGTGAAAGCTTCTAGGGCTGATACATTACGCTGCGTCAACCAGCTTGGTGAGGTGTTAGCTGTTGCCCGTCTCCTGAAGGTTAGTCTCTTCATTTACACACTTTCGCATGAACAAATGACAGAAAATATTTTTAGACACATTACGAGTCCTTCGCGTGAAAGACAACATTCAAAGACGGGCTTCAGGTAATGTATCCCGTAGGCCCCTTTCTTCGCTTCAAAGTTCTCACTGAATAAGCAGGACGAGCAAGAAGCGGAATTATCGACAAGCGTTCCTGGAATTCTGTGCGCACATGGAGTACTCCGTGAACCTCGAATTGATCTGCCGTGTTCTCCACAAAGTAGCACGTAGACACTGGAATCACTTCGAGCAATCAGGAGAGCGGAAAGAACTTGATGCGTCTATTTTCCATGATCGTATTGCGCTCGGACTTCGCCCCAAAGGACATCCGGATCGCTTCGAGATAGTGGAAAATCTCGGAACCTCTTTATCTACACGATACGTGGGATGGGGTGAACTAAAGGATCTAGAGGGGGCAATCGAGTTGCACCGTGCCGCACTGGACCTTTGTCCTGAAGGGCATCCATATCGTTCCGAGGCAATGGAGGATCTTGGATCTTCCCTTTCCAAACGATTTGAGTATGTTGGTAAAATAGAAGATCTGGAGGAAGCAGTTATGTTGCACCGTGCTGCCCTTCGACTTCGTCCCAGAGGACATCCAGAACGTTCCCGGACTGTGAATAATCTCGGATCTTCTCTTTTCATACGATTTAGGCGATGGGGAAAGCTAGAGGATCTAGAGGAAGCAATCACGCTGTACCGTGAAGCATTATATCTTCATCCCAAAGGCCATCCTTATCATACCGCATCTCTGAATAACATTGCGAGCTCCCTCGCAACTCGATTTGAACATTGTAAACAGACGGAAGACCTCGACGAAGCTGTCAAGCTTCATTATGAAGCCCTAGTGCTTTGCCCCGAAGGCCATCCTGATCGTTCCATGTCGCTGAGTAACCTTGCTGTTACTCTAAATACTCGATTTGACCAACACGGACGACTAGAGGATCTCAACAAAGTTATTAAGCTCCACCATGCTGCCTTAGAACTTTGCCACAAAGGCCATCCCAAGCATTCTACGTCCCTGGATAACCTCGCGGGTTCCCTTATTTTGACAAGCGTAGC